TGCTGAAATTGTACGGTTAAGAAATGAACAGAGAACAGATTCATTGGTCTAACATTCAAACAGCCCATAATTCGAACACGTTTACGACCGCTGCTTCTGAGGCCATTCTTCTCCGAAAAAAGTGATCTTCCCAAACCATTTTGAGTTACTCTAGAGCAGTGGTTCTCATAGGGGGTGAAATTACCCATTTTGGGTTATTTCAGGGTGTCAAGGGGTAATGGAGAGGGTCGACAAACTGGCATTTCATGCAGTTTTTCAAACTCGGGTATGTAAATGCGGTTAGATGATGGCAACACTCTCCATCCTCCTATTTTCTGAGTATCATTAGCTCGTAAGGGCCTAACAGGGTTTTCATTCGCTTTGACATGGTTTTCGTTCTTTTCTTTGCTGTTTCAATCGCTCTCATAGCTTTTATCACCGAAAGTGTTGTCTTCTGATCATTTCTCATTCATTTCACTCAACAATTAAAGTCAAATTCTCATTCTATCAAATACACTCTATAATTGATCATTAAACTGTCGAACAATTGTTGTATTGTTGACTTCGGCTGTCAACACTCGTCAACGTATCCAGTAAATAGNATATGCTACAGAATAAGAAATCGATTCGAACTGTGAAGTGAAATGAGACGAAGAGAATGATAAAAACTCATCAAGAGAACTGTATTCGCATGTGTTAGCTATGAGAGTGAATACAACACGTCTGAAAAGAATGAGAATCCGTCTGAATCAGTCTGAAATGAGCGTGTGACAGACAATAGCTTTTCATGCAATCATAATTGATTGCAGTAATGAGCATCGCAACGGTCTAGGACATTAATTTCTTTCACGTCGTTGAGAAATTTCCGGACCGGTTTTCCGTTTGTTTTTGATGTTATACGTAGAAATAGTATGTTCTTGTATAAATGGGGGGAGAGATGGGGGTGGGATGAGGGAGGAGGGTAACGGAGGCATGCCAAATCATCAAAATCTGTAAGAAACACTGCTCTAGAGGATACTGGAAAGAAAACTTCCTACCTCAACGCCATTCTGGGTGTTCTTGTCTCACACCTGTCGTACGGAAGTTCACAATCGATAACGTTCTGCTCAGAAAGGGGTTGCAAAACGCCATTCTCTATGGCATTCATCGACTCCACAACAGCGATCGATGAAAATACCCAACTGTTTCGACATTCTCCTGAAAATGTCCTCTCAGCCCTCGCTCTTGAAATCTGAATAGTTGAAATATCTCAAACAGAGTCAAACACTCGTCAAGCAGTTATCCTCAGGTTAGTTTATTCCTGCATAACCAATGATATCATATAGCTGAGGATAAGTGAAATTCTGCGGACAATACATAATCCAAAGTTTATTCAAGGATACTAGAGGCAGGTGTGTACACACCTTGATCTTTAACGTCAGTCACAGCGCGTTTCGTTCGCCAATCGAAACTACTCGGCATTGATTCATCTGGATGCTCTCTCGGATCAATCACCGCCCAATCCAAATCCATGTTGTCCAGAAGCATGCGACCATCTCTGCAATCCTCCTAAAACGCAAAACTCATATTTCGTTCGAGACCTGCTCTCCCGCAGCCTTGCCTTTTCTCATCAAAAAAATGGTTCATGTCCCAGGTAATTCACTTCCTTTTTGAAACGTTCTAACTACCTTACTTACAGTTTCAGCTGCATCCTTATTTGTAACTACTCACTGAATTGGCCACACTTCAATACCTCAGAAGCACTGGATGAAACGCTGAATTTGTCTGAATAGACAACCTTTCCATCTCCCCTTTCATCCAAGGCTTTATCGGCAAGTCCAGTCAAACCATAGATGGTGCCGTCACTGAATTTCTGCAGATCCATAATTGCCATATCACTTCCAACGAAGTGCGCAAAACGCTTGACCATCTCTTCGACTGAGTCATAGTCACGATTAAACCTGAAAAACATTAGTGATCTTTGGTATGATCTTTGGCAGATTGAAGTGATCTTTGACAAAGTGATAGATCGATGCTCGAACAGTCTGAAGAAGTATATATTTAAGACGTTTGTCATGACCAATAAATCACGAAGCTGATTTTGAAGGTTTTGGAACGATACTGAAATTGTCTAAGTTGAATGCTTGAATTGCCAAGCTTTAGGTAGTTCGATCAGGAATTTATAATAAGGAACGATATATGAAGTCGCTACAACATGGGTGTGAGATCAC